TCTGTTCTCTTCTGTTCTCTTCTGTTCTCTTCTGTTCTCTTCTGTTCTCTTCTGTTCTCTTCTGTTCTCTTCTGTTCTCTTCTGTTCTCTTCTGTTCTCTTCTGTTCTCTTCTGTTCTCTTCTCTGTTCTCTTCTGTTCTATTCTATTCTATATCTTAATTTATAATTTATAACGAACGAAGTCGCAGGCACAGCTACTGCACAAATAAATGAAAAAGTCAATGTAAAATTTGTCATCTTAATCTTACTAATATATTAATGTGAAAGTTTGGGTGGATGATGGATGCTTGTTAGAAGATATCTTAAGGAAGGCTGCATTGCATGGGTCTCGCTCAAATTTGGCATAGTTGTTGATCATAGCCTAGAAGAACAAATTCCATGCGACGAAGTTGCGGACAATCGTTAGTCATAAATAGAGTTTTGAACTTGTACGTAGTACTGCGATTAAGTGTTGATCATCTTAGGTACTAAAGTTCCTAATCAAGTTATACGACATTTACTCAAGCACTAAGCACAAGGTATTGCAATCCGATCAAGCAAATGGTAATTACCTCTGGATGCGGTCGTCGGACGTCAAAGATATGTGCCCCGGGGAAATTAACAACAAACATGATTCGTATAACGACATGCAAAAGGACATTTTAAGATCATAATATAATATTATTTTAAATGGATTATACTATGTTTTATGATCTGTGTCTTATTATGTGTCTGTTATCAAAATACACTTCGATAACAAAAACGTAAAAAAAAAATTAAATTGTTTAAGAAAAAGAGAGCGCAAAAGCTTACAGAAACTTATTGACGATAAGGTTTTTTAATTTAGATATTTTCCTTTGTGGTATAAAGTGGCAAACGAATAAATTTGCACCTGGATTCGCCAAATAAGCGAAGGGACCGCTGCACATAGACATACGCATTTGCAGATGCATTGTAAATCTACTCGTTTAGTCAAATCTCCCTACCTATGCTGTTTTATATTGATTATGTTTGTATTAAAATTATAAATACATAAAAAAGATTAATCAATAAGTAACATCAGGCCTAGTTTTTGTCTATCATCTGATCCGAACAGTTGGCGCGACGCCAAAGTTATTCATCAGAAGTTTTTGTGACAGGTCCAAGTAATATGCCACTATGGCTCTCACACGCTAATGAATTTGGCGAAGCAATTTCATCTTTGTTTTACTTTATTGAATTATGCCTATAAATATTCTATACTACTAAAATTATACAGTTACTAGCTATCGCCCTTGACTCCTTTAACAGTGGTAGAGCCCGCTTTAACATCTTCGCACGAATCGGCCCGTCTCGCCCGGTGAAATACCACGACCACACAGAAGACAGGCGTCAAGTGGAAGCAATTCCGCGTTTCGTCTGATGATTGTGCATCTCGGAGGCCTAATTTAGTCCTCTTTCCCTTCACATCTTTTTCCAAATACACTTAATTACCTAGACTTGTAAAAACAATTCATATAACATTAAACTGTGATAGATTGTCGCCATCATAATTTTTCCTTTCCTCTCTCCTCCTTTATTTACAAAACAATTGTACTCATGAACAAATATTATCTTGTTATGTGTATAAATCAAAATAATGTCCATCGTCAGTCAGTACAAAGCAGTAAATGAGATCTCATCACTCGCTGTGTACGCACAACACTTATTGTATAATTTGTTACGTCACGATTCAGTAGGCACGTATAAACATTATTTATGTTACACTCGGATGCGTTTAACAGTGGGTTTTCATTGTCGAAATACTTGTGTAATATCATTTTCATCTATATCTTTGTAACCAGTCTTTTTAGTCCTCTTTCTCTGCTCACCCTTGAAGACTGTCTGAAGTTAACCTAACGATGTCAAAGATTAGTTTCTTATTGCAGACTTGAAAGGGACATGGCCTGACGACGTAATAGACGGCGTAATAGCGACTTGTAGCAATAACTTGCAGAGATTAAAGATATACATAGACATAATATTTACAGCGCTATTATTAAATGAAGCAGAATTATCTCTTCTTTATAGAAGAAAGAAGATAAAATGAAAGAAGAAGGGAATAGACGGCGTCGTTTGTTTAGACAAGAATGGAATGATGGAAGGACAGCCCAGTATGCACTCGAAAACATTTTGCGACTTGTAATCTAGACTATTATCCATTACTTCTATTCTATTTAAAAATGGATTACTTAAAAATTAGGATTACGAAATTAGAATTACTATTGAACGGATATTTGTTAATAGAGCTACCTTAGTTTTTGCAGCTATTAAATTAACATTTACTTCATTTTCTTCTGTAATAACTCTCAGGTTACTGCCGCATCCAATCCAATCCATGTATCACTTAGAAGAATTAATCCTTGCTTGAATTCAGATCAATTAACAATACTTGTAAAATATTTATATAGCTAAATATTACATACACAGGCATATATTTAATGTACAGTTTAGTAAAACTGAAACATATTACCTGTGCAGTTAAATTGTAAAACTGACCCAATGTTTAAATTTAAATTCAAACCTTGTTTTTCCGTATAATTTATCCGTTGAGCCCTTGTTTAGCATGCAATAAATCCAACAAGTGTCGAACATTGCGAATGAAAATAAGATTTATATTGACTTCCCCTTTCGCAGATTTGGCGTGATAGCTTGTTTGGGAAGTAAGCTGGAGCGAGCTAGAGGATTTATGGATCCGTGCATATAGATTGATGATTCGTAGAAAACAGAAAATGACTAGTAACGTCTGGAAACTTAGTTTTGTATTCAAATTGTGATAAATTATTTATCACAATTTAAAACATTCATTTGGAAATGGGCAAATAAAAATTCTTAAACCAGATCACGTTACTATAAAAAGATTTAAAAGAAATGGACGAGGGTACTTCTACGTACCACAAGGTAAAAAAAAACAACTTATCAGCCCCTGAACCATAAGCATTACTTTCTGTTGAAGAAGTTAAAACAACGATGAACAATTACTTAGAATTTTATAAAGTAATAAAGGAATTTCTTTTAGTAGCTTAGGGCATCCAATTTGAACGCACTTAAGAGGATCTATTGTTTTGTTGTTAAAGCACGTATCGGAACTTGGTTCAGTTTACAAAGAGCTCTCTGAGTCAATATAAAAGTACCTTCTTTGTAGACAGGTCGAGTATCAGTTAATAAGATAGACAAAACTTTATCTTAAAACAATTTGTATTATTTCATTCGTTGACTAGTTGCTTTTTAACTTTGATCATGGTTTTATAATTACCGCTTTAGATTTTTTTTTCATATAAACAATACTTCTTGGTCTTCTTGTTCTTCTATTTTTAAAGCCCTTTGTGGGCTTTAACTATGGTCCATTGTTATGCTAACTTTTTTTCGGTCTCGATTTACGGCATCTATCGAAAAGTTTTGGTCTCATTCGAACTCCACGACTTTCGGGATTACTCGACATAACGCACTTAGGTACTAGCTTCATCCATTCGCTCCACGTGGCCGGTTTATCTAAGCCTGTTGTTTGATGTGTCCATCAACTAACGTGCAAAATATATGTGCTAAAATATATTCTAGTGTCTCAGAGATTAAACGACAATATACTCTATGAATATTTCAATGAAAATCCATGATAGGAACTTGAATTACAAAAAAAAAAATTCTCAGTTCTCCTTCTTATACTCCAACTAGCTGTCTAGCTAGTTGCTAGAGTCTCCGTACGAGTGGAATTAAAAAGCCTAATTAATAGCCTACGAGATCTAATTTCAACGAATTTCATGAAACCGTTCTTCAATACCTTCTAACAAACATCTATCCATCAAAGCATTCGTAATAAATTAAATTTCTCTGCTTTCTTTTGTTTTACCTTTTCAGAAATTTATCTAAGGAATAGTTTATTATTAATTTAATGTGCATATTGTTAAATTTCATTAAAATGTTCATAATACCGTTAATGATTACCGAGATGATATGAATTCCGACGTGTAACCGCTAAACCGCAAATGAATGGGATTAACTGTACCGAGAACAGGTTTCATTCGTTAACCATTCATTGGACGGAAGCATAATTGCTACTGCGAAATTAAAAAATATATAAACGATGCAATAATTGAACTAGTAAGACGTGTTTTCAATTTTGCTCTTATAAAAATTTCTGCTGCACAACATTCCAAAACACGTGCGGAATAAACCATGTATGCAACATTTTCTGTGTTTGTCTTATATTCTCAACTTGTAGCTTGCGTGGAATTTAACCTTTTTGAGAACGCAAACTTTACAACAATTAACAAAACTGGATTATTTTATATTTATAATTTTTGGTATCTCTTAAGAATATACATCTGCAATTCGTTAGCTTGAAAATCGCACATCTTTCTTTCAGTTAATCATTTCCTGTTGAAATGAAGGCAATGTTTCTTCTTTTATTTCTTTACTATAATACGCAATTCGCATTTGAGTAAAACTTTTCCATTCACCTTAGCATCTTGTTTTCCAAATGTCTCTCTTGCGTATTTGCTACGTCTTTTCAATGCTATTGAATACAAAGGCAAATCGCTACAAAAGATTTAGGATGATCGAAACAAAGTTAAACAGTAATTTGGATGTGGCATTTTAGCATTACATTAACAAAACTTGGGCTGTAGTCAAGTTTTAGTTTTTGTATCAAACTGGAAAATTATAGATTTATTATAGTTGTATCAATGCCTCATAATAAAAAACCATTTTACTTCAAAAATTATAAAAATAGTACAGTCAACTGCATAAA